AGACACACTCTCTAATAATCGTTATGACCCTGACATACCAACATGGGTCGACCCCGAGATGGCGCTCTCTCTAAAGGCGTCATGGTCAGGAGACTATGACATCATAGTTCATATTTCTGAGCGTGTAAATCTGTTGATGGCGCTGGAGGTCGAGAGCTGGATTTAGATCTCCTCCTTTAACACGTTTGAGGTCACTGACCTCGCTCTGTGTTTTCTGATTCCAGAGGTCATGGGGACGATGGGTTTCCCTCACGACGAGGTGAAGAAGGCGTTGGAGGGTCAGAAATACAACGAGGTGACGGCGGTGTACCTGCTGCTGGGGAGCAAAGCGGCCGAGGTTTGTTCAGAGAAATCCTCCACGACTCTGAGAGGTCGACTTTCAGATCCGTCTCTCTGTGGCGTGGAGCGAGCGGGGCGCGGAGCGAGCGGGGGCGCGGAGCGAGCGGGGCGCGGAGCGAGCGGGGCGCGGAGCGAGCGGGGCGCGGAGCGAGCGGGGCGCGGAGCGAGCTGGGCGCGGAGCGAGCGTGGCGCGGAGCGAGCGGGGGCGTGGAGCGAGCGGGGCGCGGAGCGAGCGGGGGCGCGGAGCGAGCGGGGCGCGGAGCGAGCGGGGCGCGGAGCGAGCGGGGCGCGGAGCGAGCGGGGCGCGGAGCGAGCTGGGCGCGGAGCGAGCGTGGCGCGGAGCGAGCGGGGGCGCGGAGCGAGCCGGGGCGCGGAGCGAGCGGGGGCGCGGAGCGAGCGGGGCGCGGAGCGAGCGGGGGCGCGGAGCGAGCGGGGGCGCGGAGCGAGCGGGGGCGCGGAGCGAGCGGGGCGTGGAGCGAGCGGAGTTGTAGTGTAATTTTTTTTTTAATTTTCAACATTATATCACAGGCCTCACCGGCCTCACCGGCCTCACCGGCCTCACCGGCCTCACCGGCCTCACAGGCCCCAAAGGACCAACAGAACAGGAGAAAAACAACAAAAGAAAAAACAAACTAAATGAATCCTCACCCCCAGCAACCAGACACACACACATAAACATTGTACAAAGCCAGACATTCATAAAAGGTAAATAAATAATACAGAAATATATCACAGAGAAATAAAAAACTAAAAAATGGTTCCATTATGCTATGTTGTCATCCTCCATCTCTTCGACAAAGATCAAGAAAGGTTGCCAGATATTATCAAATTTCCTAATAGACCCTCTGATAGTGTATCTAATTTTCTCTAATTTAAGATGGTACATGACTTCTTTGATCCAATGACTATATGTCGGTGGGTTAGGGTCTTTCCATTTAATAAACAGTATCAGTCTCCTGGCTAGGAGAGTAGAAAAGGCCAGCATGTTGATTTCAAATCTATTAAGAGGGACGTCTACTGGGGCCACACCAAAGAGTACAATAAATGGAGATGGTTGTACTGTTTTCCCAAATACCTTAGAGAAAGTCTCAAAGATGGTTTGCCAGAATGTAAGAAGTTTCGGACATGTGCACCAGAGTGGCTGGCGCCTGTTTGCTTCCCTCACATGTGGGATCTATGTCAGCATTGATCTTAGAAAGCCTGACTTTAGACCAATGTAGGCAGTGTACAATTTTGAATTGAATAACAGCATGCTTAAGACATATGGAAGAGGAGAAAATGGACTGTATTATCTTGTGCCACACTGCTTCTGAAATTGGTTGCTCCAAGTCCATTTCCCATTTATCCCTAAGGAGATCTAAACGTGCCGAATTATGCGTCTTGAGTAGTTCATAGATTGTACTTATATTCTGTTTTCTTATCGATTGCCATTTGAAAATTGAGTCTAATAGGGAAGTGGAAGGGCATGACGGGTAACAGTTGGAATTTGAGGTTACAAAGTCACGGAGCTGCAGGTATTTGTAGAATTGCGTTCTGTTCGAAGGAGGCAAACTTGCCTTCAATGTAAAGATCAGACAGTGAGACCACACCCCTTCTAGACCAGGAGTTGAAAGTCTCATCCATCACTGACGGGACAAACATGTGGTTCTTTGCTATTGGTGCAGCCTGTGACATGTACCTAAGGGAAAAGGATCTTCTGAACTGGTTCCAGTTTTTAATTGAGTGTATTATAACCGGGTTAGAAGTAAAGCTTGAAATGGGTTGTGTAAATGGCAATTTAGCACATAATAAATCTGCCAGTGAAGTGGATCCAATAGACGCCCCCTCCAAAGTAGTCCACTTGGGGACAGCTACATCATTCCTCACCCAGTATAGCAATGCTCCTATGTTGGCTGCCCAATAATAGTACATAAAGTTTGGGAGCGCCATCCCTCCCATCAAACGAGGCATCTGCAGTACACTTCTTTTGATCCGGGGTGGTTTTTTGTTCCAGATAAAAGTCAATATCTGATTATTTAATTTGGGAAAGAAAGATTTTGTTAGGAAGACCGGAAGGCACTGGAATATATATAGAAATTTAGGCAGAACGTTCATCTTTATAGAGTTAATTCTTCCGCCCAAGGAGAGAGGCAATGGGTCCCAGCGTTCAGTATCCTGCTTCAGGGTAGACAGTAGGGGTTGATAATTAACTATATATAAATCTTTATGTTTACGAGTAACCCATATCCCAAGGTATTTGAATTTCTTAGGGCTAATTTTAAAAGGGAATGAGCCCACGGATCTTTGGTCAACACCATCGCCAATAGGCATCAGCTCGCTTTTCTGAACATTTACTTTATAGCCTAAGATGTTATATCTTTATTTAACCTTGAATTTAGAAGGGGCCACCACTTCCTGTTAAAGGAAGAAAATAACTTCAATGGTATAAGTTAATTAATTAATCAGTCAGTTTCATATCTTGAAGTTCTGGAAATGTTAAACAAGAAAACACACAGACAAAGTCCTGAAGTTTATGTGTAAAATTTTATATAAAACTCAAGACTCAATCTTCCAACACTAGCAACCAGCACGCTTACTGTGAGTTGTGTTCGATTGAACTCCGCTGGCTGGTCCCGTTTCAGTCTCCGACAAGTTTTCCCTTCCTGGGCTACCAGAGAGGTCCACGGGCCAGATTAGATGCCTTAACAACTTGGTTGGAGTGTGCAGCTGGGATGGAGATTGTACGTCGGTTCAGCCGTCGTCTCAGAAGCGGAGCGGATCCAACAGGAAAAATATGAGAGTCTTTTGATACGTCGATTTCCAATTCAGATTAACCGGATGGCCATCTTGATGAATCCAAACTAAGAAATTGGCGTTCAAAATTGAAGAGCAAAGACTTTGGAGAAGAAAATTCAAAAGACTTGCTTGAGCCAGAAAGAATTGATGTTCCAAAAATTGTGCGTGAAAATGAAAGTTTGGCAAAGACTCGTCTCTACGGCACAAACACACAAGTGATTCGGACCAAAGTCTGAAGAGAAGAGAGCAAGAGCTGAAGCTCTAAACTCCAAGAAACCAAAACTAAGAAAAACCTAAAGATCTGAGCTCAGTGTGAACTCTTATCACCTGGATGAGAGGAGGGGGGTCTGCAGGAGAAGGGTCACTCATTCTGACCGGAGGACAATTGTTTAAACTAAACCGAGTTTACTCAATAAGATTAAGAATAAGAATCTAAACATATATACGTCACCATACATTCATTTCGATATTATTTCTATCAGATCCACGTTGATGTAGGTTCACGTCATATATTTAGACAAACATTTCTATCAGATTCATGTTGAGATGAAAATCACACCATCTGGGAACATCCTCAGTTACTCCCAGCCTGTAGGTGAACAAAAACATGTTTTACAGTCAGCATTCTTAATAAGACATATTAATAAAGTAGATATCATAACACCTGCTATAGCTAATATCAAAGAGTATGCTTTATAACACGTCTAAATGTATAATTATGAAGGTTACGTAGGCAATAGCGCTCCACGTCAAATTCCTATTAAACATGATATAACTCTTATTTGTATTCTGAACATCAGATTTTGAGTTTAAAAAGATGATTATAATACATTCAATGTGACAATTACAAATATCTAGATGAAGAAAGATATAAATGTTAATTTGATGCAGAATTGAACGCTGTGGTTTAATTCAGCTCTTCAGCAGTCCTTCAACAGATGGTCAAATTTACGACTTTGCAGAGACTGGTTTCAGTCACAGTTCATGTCTTTGGGGTTAATTCGTAGATAGCAGAGTGTTCTGTTTCCGCTCGGTTGTTTATTCCAGGTGTTGTAAAAGTTCATAACATCCTGTCTGAGAGGGAGACTTAAATCATTGCTCAGTTCCTTTGTTCCTTGGTAAAAAGTAACCAAGATGTTAATCCACAGTCCTGAGTCCTGCAGGATGGAGCGTGGAGCGAGGGAGGGGGGGCGTGGCGTGAGCGAGCGAGCGGGGGGCGTGGTGGGAGCGAGCGGGGGGCGTGGCGGGAGCGAGGGGGGGGGGGGTTGGGTGGCGTGGCGGGAGCGAGCGGGGGGCGTGGCGGGAGCGAGCATGGTAACGGACTAAAAGATGGCGTAGATGGGCAGGTGGACGTTAGCTCATTAGCTCGTGCTCTTTCTGTGACTCTGCTTCACAAACACACGCCTCGCTGCGCGCACACACACCTCTCCTCTCGACGGACAGACTCACAGCGGGGGAAGCATCTTGGAGTTTAAACATTTTTCGTCTTTTTTAAGGAAACCATTTATTGTCATATTTTTTCGTTAGCTTAATTAGCTGTTAGCTTAATTAGCTGTTAGCCTAGCCTCTATCGTAAACCCTCTGTTTGGACTCTTTCCTTTAGTGTGAGGGCAGCGAGTCCAGCACCAACCTGGTTCAAAGGACACGACCCAACAGTGAACTCAACGGCTCGGGTCAGTCCCCTGCCCACTCTCGCAACGTCACAACCAATCAGAAGCAGCGGCGATTCAGCGACCACGGTAAGTTTCTGATCAGTGAGTTAGAAATGTTTCGTGTCGGGGATAATCTCAGTGATCTTTGTTTTCTGTCTCAGTGGCGCCGTCTATCCCCCCACCTGTCTCCTACACCAAGCGTTGTCATGCCAACAGCGTGGAGAGCGACAGGAAGGAGGAGCCGGCGTCACCTGTGGGAGCTCCAGACCGCAGGAGGTCAGCCACAGCCTCAGGGGTGAGAGGATTCAGATTCTGGTCTGAGCCAGGACGAGACCTGGTCCTGATCCTAGCTAACGGGTCATCAGACTGAGACCTGGTACTGATCCTAGGTAACGGGTCATCAGACTGAGACCTGGTCCTGATCCTAGCTAACGGGTCATCAGACTGAGACCTGGTCCTGATCCTAGCTAACGGGTCATCAGACTGAGACCTGGTACTGATCCTAGCTAACGGGTCATCAGACTGAGACCTGGTCCTGATCCTAGCTAACGGGTCATCAGACTGAGACCTGGTCCTGATCCTAGCTAACGGGTCATCAGACTGAGACCTGGTCCTGATCCTGGTGCAACAAAAGACTGCCAAAGAGCAGTCTTTTGTTGCACTTCTAAAAACAGGAATCCTCTTATTGAATCATCAGTTTATTCATATAATGATGTAATAAACTCTGTGTGTGTGTGTGTGTGTGTGTGTGTGTGTGTGTGTGTGTGTGTGTGTGTGTGTGTGTGTGTGTGTGTGTGTGTGTGTGTGTGTGTGTGTGTGTGTGTGTGTGTGTGTGTGTGTGTGTGTGTGTGTGTGTGTGTGTGTGTGTGTGTGTGTGTGTGTGTGTGTGTGTGTGTGTGTGTGTGTGTGTGTGTGTGTGTGACAGAGCATAACTCGCAGGAACACGTATGTCAACGACAGGATGAGTACTGAACGCCACTTGGTGGCCGTTCACAACGGGAAGGACGGCAGGTGAGAGGAATTCTGGGAGTTTTCATCGATCAGTCGTTTATTTCATGTTAAACGAGTAACCAGTCTCTGTTTCAGTCTACCTGAGGTACCTGCAGCGTCCCCCTCCCCATCGCCAGGGGCAACAGTGACCTCCACACGGCCCCGCCATGTCAAGTCCATGTCTGCGTCGGGACATCCCATGAAGTCCTGTCTGCCCCCCATCGACGACAACGTAGAATATCAGAGGTGATAAAAACGACGACGACGGTGGTAAACGACGTCTCCGCACAGCTGTTCATCTTTTATTAATATCAACCCCACCCCCACCCCCCCTCCCCCTCAGCCCCCCCAGCAGCCCCCGTCCTCGCCGTCAGCCTTCAGCATCACCAGCAGCAGCACCACGCCGGACCGGACCCGCTTCCCCCGAGGCTCCTCCAGCCGCTCCACCTTCCATGGCGCTCAGCTCCGAGACCGACGACCCGCCACCTATAACGGCCCGCCTGCCTCTCCCAGCCTGTCGCAGCACGCCACCTCGCCACGCCGCGGAACCTCAAACTCCCTGATAGGGAAGATCACCTCCAAGTTCGTACGAAGGTCAGTGATATCAATCTAAACAGAGGCGGAGCCTTAAAGAGCAAAACCAGCGAGAGCCGTCACCAATCCACCACGAGACAGAAACCACTTCCTGTTCCAGGAAGACTGAACCCTCGTGGTCGTTCAGTAGACTGAACCCTCGTGCTCGTTCTGAACCCTCGTGCTCGTTCAGTAGTCTGAACCCTCGTGCTCGTTCAGTAGTCTGAACCCTCGTGGTCGTTCAGTAGACTGAACCCTCGTGGTCGTTCAGTAGACTGAACCCTCGTGGTCGTTCAGTAGTCTGAACCCTCGTGGTCGTTCAGTAGACTGAACCCTCGTGGTCGTTCTGAACCCTCGTGGTCGTTCAGTAGACTGAACCCTCGTGCTCGTTCAGTAGACTGAACCCTCGTGGTCGTTCAGTAGACTGAACCCTCGTGCTCGTTCAGTAGACTGAACCCTCGTGCTCGTTCAGTGGTCTGAACCCTCGTGGTCGTTCTGAACCCTCGTGGTCGTTCAGTAGTCTGAACCCTCGTGGTCGTTCAGTAGACTGAACCCTCGTGGTCGTTCAGTAGACTGAACCCTCGTGGTCGTTCAGTAGTCTGAACCCTCGTGGTCGTTCAGTAGACTGAACCCTCGTGCTCGTTCTGAACCCTCGTGGTCGTTCAGTAGTCTGAACCCTCGTGGTCGTTCTGAACCCTCGTGGTCGTTCAGTAGTCTGAACCCTCGTGGTCGGTCAGTAGACTGAACCCTCGTGGTCGTTCAGTAGTCTGAACCCTCGTGGTCGTTCAGTAGTCTGAACCCTCGTGGTCGTTCAGTAGTCTGAACCCTCGTGGTCGTTCAGTAGACTGAACCCTCGTGCTCGTTCAGTGGTCTGAACCCTCGTGCTCGTTCAGTAGACTGAACCCTCGTGCTCGTTCAGTAGACTGAACCCTCGTGCTCGTTCAGTAGTCTGAACCCTCGTGCTCGTTCAGTGGTCTGAACCCTCGTGGTCGTTCTGAACCCTCGTGGTCGTTCAGTAGTCTGAACCCTCGTGGTCGTTCAGTAGACTGAACCCTCGTGGTCGTTCAGTAGACTGAACCCTCGTGGTCGTTCAGTAGTCTGAACCCTCGTGGTCGTTCAGTAGTCTGAACCCTCGTGGTCGTTCAGTAGACTGAACCCTCGTGGTCGTTCTGAACCCTCGTGGTCGTTCAGTAGTCTGAACCCTCGTGGTCGTTCTGAACCCTCGTGCTCGTTCAGTAGTCTGAACCCTCGTGGTCGTTCTGAACCCTCGTGGTCGTTCTGAACCCTCGTGGTCGTTCAGTAGTCTGAACCCTCGTGGTCGGTCAGTAGACTGAACCCTCGTGGTCGTTCAGTAGTCTGAACCCTCGTGGTCGTTCAGTAGACTGAACCCTCGTGGTCGTTCAGTAGACTGAACCCTCGTGGTCGTTCAGTAGACTGAACCCTCGTGGTCGTTCAGTAGTCTGAACCCTCGTGGTCGTTCAGTAGACTGAACCCTCGTGGTCGTTCAGTAGACTGAACCCTCGTGGTCGTTCAGTAGACTGAACCCTTGTGGTTGTTCGTCGGCTTACAAACGAGGCGTCGGGTTAGCGTTAGCTTTGATGCTAATCATTCTGTGTTTTTCCCTGCAGGAGTTTCTCAGGTGAGCCCAAAGAAGAAGGGCGGGAGTCCAAGCCTCGCGCCCTGCGCTTCACCTGGAGCATGAAGACCACGTCGTCCATGGAGCCGGGCGACATGATGAAGGAGATCCGGAGGGTTCTGGACGCCAACAACTGCGACTACGAGCAGCGAGAGCGCTACTCGCTGTTCTGCGTGCACGGCGACGCCCGGCAGGACAGTCTGGTCCAATGGGAGATGGAGGTGTGCAAGCTGCCGCGCCTCTCGCTCAACGGCGTGCGCTTCAAAAGGATCTCGGGCACGTCGATCGCCTTCAAAAACATCGCCTCCAAAGTGGCCAACGAGCTCCGGCTGTGAGCGAGCCCGGTTCTTCGTTAGTGAACACTGAGAAACACACCTTCATATATTCCACTCACTATTTAATGTTAGCACTAAGTGTTTGAAACCAAATCCATGAAGACCTGAAGGCATCCTCAGCGAGTCCTCCTGAAGGCGTCTGAAGCGAGTCCTCCTGAAGGCGTCTGAAGCGAGTCCTCCTGAAGGCATCCTCAGCGAGTCCTCCTGAAGGCGTCTGAAGCGAGTCCATCTGAAGGCGTCCTCAGCGAGTCCTCCTGAAGGCGTCCTCAGCGAGTCCACCTGAAGGCGTCTGAAGCGAGTCCTCCTGAAGGCGTCTGAAGCGAGTCCTCCTGAAGGCGTCTGAAGCGAGTCCTCCTGAAGGCGTCTGAAGCGAGTCCATCTGAAGGCGTCCTCAGCGAGTCCTCCTGAAGGCGTCTGAAGCGAGTCCTCCTGAAGGCGTCTGAAGCGAGTCCTCCTGAAGGCGTCCTCAGCGAGTCCTCCTGAAGGCGTCTGAAGCGAGTCCTCCTGAAGGCGTCTGAAGCGAGTCCACCTGAAGGCGTCTGAAGCGTGTCCTCCTGAAGGCGTCTGAAGCGAGTCCTCCTGAAGGCGTCTGAAGCGAGTCCTCCTGAAGGCGTCTGAAGCGAGTCCTCCTGAAGGCGTCTGAAGCGAGTCCACCTGAAGGCGTCTGAAGCGAGTCCTCCTGAAGGCGTCCTCAGCGAGTCCTCCTGAAGGCGTCTGAAGCGAGTCCTCCTGAAGGCGTCTGAAGCGAGTCCACCTGAAGGCGTCTGAAGCGTGTCCTCCTGAAGGCCGAGTCGACACGTTGTTCCGCCTGTTGCTGTTTAGATGCACAGAGCGTTCGAGCACCTTGGAGACGTAAACGTCCTCCTCAGGTCACAGGTCAGAGGTCCCAGGGACCTGAAGAGTCTTTGATCTGAGCAGGAAGTGAACGATGCCGGATGAGGACCAGCCTGCATGTAATCTGGATGTTAGACTTCTCTTGTTGCCGTGCATGCTAACGCCTTAACACTGACCTGATTCTGGAGTGTAAACAAACATCTGAACGTTTCCTCTGCTCGACCCGTGCAGAACAGCTGGCTCATCCTGGTTTAGATCATATTCAGGATCAGGTGTTTACCTGGTTATTCTCAGTCATAGTGTTCTGCACGTTGCACAGTTTACAGTTGAGGCGTCATGATGACATCATCATCCATAGACTGTATATGAGAAGTGGACGTAGCCACTGTGATGTCACCAACTGATTTATAGAGAACTGTTTGAAGCCTCTAATGTGGAACTTTTGGCTGCCGCCATCTTGGTTTTCTAGAGCCGGGTGGATCCATATTTGAGAGTGAAGTATCGGATTAACTAACTCTAAATGATGGGCTAGCTAGCGCCAGCTGCGTTAGCGAGGTGTAATACTTGGCGTGTTGCTAAGCTAGTGGCGGTCTTTATACTCAATGAGAAGTCAGAATAAAAAGTACTGTAGGTTTATGACACTAAGGTGAAGGAGTCCGGAGGCTCCGCCCACTTCTTTCACACAGTCTGTGTTTGGATCACTTGGGGAGAGCGATGCCTGTGACCTGTGACCTCTCTCCTGCTCCCCCTGCTGGCTGACGTGAGCTCATGAGCACTCCTGGTGGCTGGAACATGAACTGTAAGGCTGACTCTACTCGTGGTTATTACTACCTGTCCAGGTGAACATGTGCAGGCACAGTATTGAGATGTATACATTTTTTATGTCATGTCTTTTTTTTTCTTAACATTTTTTAATCTCGAATGCTTCCGGGGAACGTTTCAGACGGTTGTTTTCCATCCACACTTCAAACACTAGTCTGCTGATTTCTCATATTTCTTTAAACCGTTTGAGCTCACACATTTTACTGAAGCTCGACGCCGCCTGAACGCCTGCTGGACCACCATAGAGCTCTATGGCAGACAGGTCATTCAGTGTTTATAAGAAGAGAAATAAATCAAATCAGCAGAACTCTCCGACTCACCCTTTAAGCCTCTTACAGTTAACCATTTACTGCCTTCTGATTGGACGCATTTATACTTCTGATGTGTTCGCTCACAAAGGAACTCTGTGGATGTTGAGTTTGTATTCCCTCTAATGGAACCTGTCCAATCACAGAGCTTCTAAACCCTTAATTCCACCAGATGCGTGTTCGGTCCGTCTCCACTCGTAGCTTAGCGTATTGTTTTCACTTTATTCAGTGTGTTCTTCCGCCGTCACGTTAGCTTAGCATAGCATATTGTTTTCACTTTATTCAGTGTGTTCTTCCGCCGTCACGTTAGCTTAGCATAGCATATTGTTTTCACTTTATTCAGTGTGTTCTTCCGCCGTCACGTTAGCTTAGCATAGCGTATTGTTTTCACTTAATGCAGTGTCTCTCTGCAGATACACCAGACTTCTGTCTCTGCAGGATGTCGGAGCACGGAGCATCAAATCACCACAAAGCAGATCGAGCACGACAGGAAGTCAGACACAGAAACAACATTAAAACTTCCTGTTTATTTTCAGAATAAAAGACCATACAAGGTTCAGATCTGTTGATGTTTGTACAGTTTTAGACGTATATCGTATCATCTTGCGCTGTCGGCGTGATTCTGTTATTACCTCGTGACTCCAGCTGTCCGGCGCCGCTGCTCCGTGCTGCCCCTGTGGGAGGAGCCGTAATGGAGCGGAGCGGTAACGCACACGTATCTGGTGGAAGTTCTGTGTGACTCCGTGGTGTGGAGGTCTCTGGCTGTCCCAGGTCAGGGTCTAACCCGGACCCCCCCTTGTACTGTTTGTTGTAGCACTTAAAGAAACGTTGAAGAGGAGAGCAGCAGACGTCCCGTGTAGCCATGACGGATTCATTTCAAATAAAAACACTCAAATTAACCTTTTTAGCTCGAGTCGTTTTTTTAATCACAAAGTGAAGGTCAGTAAAATGGACGAGGTCATCACCAACCACTCTGCATCATTTACTTTCATCTGATCGGTCGGTTTGCCTCCTCACGCCAGCCTGTCACCATCCAGATCTACTTTTGTGTAGGGACGAGGTCATCAATGTCCCCGCCCCCCTCCAGCCGCTTCTCCATGGCGACGAGCAGTTTGACGCCGTCCACAACCAGCTGGGTCAGTCCCACCTCGCTCACGCCAAAGGTCGACACGTTGCTCACACGATACAGTGCCGGGGATTCTGGGAAATGGGAAAGACAAGTTTGAATGAAACTGTAAAGCTTCCCAACGATCGGACTCACGATGTAGTTTAGAACGACGTAAACCGATTATTTTTTAATTTCACATTTCAAAATAAGTTTTCTTGAGCTTTTATTTTGAATTCTTGTACCGTCTTAAAGTCTTCATGGAGCTGAACTCAGAGTCTCTGTAACTGAAGCGGGATCGATCCAATCACAAGAAAGAAGGCGGGACTTAGCGTTGGGATGAATTTGATTGGATCATTAGCTTTGACTAGCTTTGTGATTGGTCGGTTTATTCGTAAACGCCCTGGGTGCAGAGTCATCAGACATACTAGTAGAAATAATCTGCTGACGTTTTATTGAAATATTTTATAAATGAACATTTCTAGTTTGCAGCTGCGTAACGTTAAGTTTGAACAGATGCGGGGGACATGAGGCAGCCATCTTGTAGAGGAGGTCACCCTGCAGCGGCGTGCGTCTGCTGCAGACTGAGAGAGTTGTAAACTATGGAGTCAGAGCGCCCCCTGCTGGACATGTTCCTTATAGTGCTGGGCGATATATCGTGAAGCTCGAGTCGATCGATATTTAATTAATGCTTGATATGGAAAAGGGAACATCGATTTTATTTTTTAAACTACTTGAAAGTTTTCTCGTGATATTAGGGTATTTAGTGAGATTTACGTGGCAGCGCTTGTTGCTCGGAGACGAAAGGGCGGAGGAGACTCCACTCCTGCTGCTGAGGCCGAATTACTTAGAAAAAAAGTTCTCATAACGGAGGGCTCAACATTATAAGTGTCCCACTGACCCGGATGAATGATTGACAGAGTCCAGCTGATTGCACGTTCAGCTGGAGGTTTCACTGCTGTCCCTCCCACGAGCGCGCTCACTACACTCAAATTGTTCACTCACACACAGATCTTAGAGCAGGTTTTCTCTGATAAAACACACGTTTGGTAAAACAGTTTTAAAACCATCAGATCGCGACAAAAGCCTAACTTACATCAGAATTCAAAGAAAACAAATCACCTGAAGAGTGGAGAGTGAGAGCAGGAAGAAAACAGAAAAGTTTGATCCACAGTGACAGACAGCTGGAGGAGCTGGAACACGTTACAGTTAAAGACTAGATCCTGCTAAAGATCAAAGTTATTCACAAAACATGTTAGTCCTTAAGAGAGCTCCTAAAGTAAAGATGTAAGGATGAAGAGATTCTCACAGAGAAGAAAGAAGGAGAGATTCAGATCTATCACAGCCTCATATTAATATCACATTAAGTAGACTCTTACAGCATGGTGAATAAACAGGAGCACATAAATATAAGAAAAATATACAATATGTTTATAATTAACTCAATTAATTTAATAAAAGTTGTAATTGACTTTTGCATCAGAATGGTTCAAGAGTAAATTGGTGATTTTTGGAAACAAAAGTAATGTAAACATCGAGTCATATCGAATATCGGCAAAAAAATATTGTGATATCAAATTTAGGCCATATCGCCCAGCACTAGTTCCTTACAGACAGATTTCAGATGGATCAGATAAACCCTGTGATGGATCGGGGGTCTCTCAGTACCTGTCCCGTCCATACTGAGCCTCAGTCTCTTCAGGACGTCCTCCACGCGTCTGTGTCGGGGGAGGTGTTGTAGTCTGAGCTGGACTCTGATCCTCAGACCCGTCCCCACGTCAGCCGGAGAGCTCGTCACCCAGCCCAGCTGCTGCTTCCAGATGAACGGGTGTTTGAGCGCTCTGTAGACGGCGTCCAGCTGCAGCATGAAGCAAAAACAGGTTTCATGATGTGATCAGAGGACGCTCGTCCCAACACTGAGACCCCCCCCTCACCTTCTGCAGGTTCATACAGACGGTCCTAAAAGCCTTGGCCATGTTGGCGTCGCCTCGCGTCGACACAAGCTTCAGGTGGTCCTCCATGTTGATCCAGACCACCAGGCTGCCATCTTCGCTTACCCTGCAGCAAAGGATCATGGGATATCACACGTATTACAAGACAGATCAAAATCTGTGAGAAAGTCGCTCTCTTGACACCGACCGGACCTTCAGAACTCAGGACTTCCTGGTGGTCTGCTGCTGTGGTTCACGTTTTAAATAGTTGAACATGTCAGTAGTGTTTCCTGTGTTATTTTGTAGTTCTTGTCTGTAGTGTTTCCTGTGTTATTTTGTAGTTCTTGTCTGTAGTGTTTCCTGTGTTATTTTGTAGTTCTTGTCTGTAGTGTTTCCTGTTTTATTTTGTAGTTCTTGTCTGTAGTGTTTCCTGTGTTATTTTGTAGTTCTTGTCTGTAGTGTTTCCTGTCTTATTTTGTGGTTTTTGTCTGTAGTGTTTCCTGTCTTATTTTGTGGTTTTTGTCTGTAGTGTTTCTTGTGTTATTTTGTAGTTCTTGTCTGTAGTGTTATTTTGTAGTTCTTGTCTGTAGTGTTTCCTGTGTTATTTTGTAGTTCTTGTCTGTAGTGTTTCCAGTGTTATTTTGTAGTTCTTGTCTGTCGTGTTTCCTGTTTTATTTTGTAGTTCTTGTCTGTAGTGTTTCTTGTGTTATTTTGTAGTTCTTGTCTGTAGTGTTTCCTGTGTTATTTTGTAGTTCTTGTCTGTAGTGTTTCCTGTGTTATTTTGTAGTTCTTGTCTGTAGTGTTTCCTGTTTTATTTTGTAGTTCTTGTCTGTAGTGTTTCTTGTGTTATTTTGTAGTTCTTGTCTGTAGTGTTTCCTGTCTTATTTTGTAGTTCTTGTCTGTAGTGTTTCTTGTGTTATTTTGTAGTTCTTGTCTGTAGTGTTTCTTGTGTTATTTTGTAGTTCTTGTCTGTAGTGTTTCTTGTGTTATTTTGTAGTTCTTGTCTGTAGTGTTTCTTGTGTTATTTTGTAGTTCTTGTCTGTAGTGTTTCCTGTGTTATTTTGTAGTTCTTGTCTGTAGTGTTTCCTGTCTTATTTTGTGGTTTTTGTCTGTAGTGTTTCCTGTCTTATTTTGTGGTTTTTGTCTGTAGTGTTTCTTGTGTTATTTTGTAGTTCTTGTCTGTAGTGTTATTTTGTAGTTCTTGTCTGTAGTGTTTCCTGTGTTATTTTGTAGTTCTTGTCTGTAGTGTTTCCAGTGTTATTTTGTAGTTCTTGTCTGTCGTGTTTCCTGTTTTATTTTGTAGTTCTTGTCTGTAGTGTTTCTTGTGTTATTTTGTAGTTCTTGTCTGTAGTGTTTCCTGTGTTATTTTGTAGTTCTTGTCTGTAGTGTTTCCTGTGTTATTTTGTAGTTCTTGTCTGTAGTGTTTCCTGTTTTATTTTGTAGTTCTTGTCTGTAGTGTTTCTTGTGTTATTTTGTAGTTCTTGTCTGTAGTGTTTCCTGTCTTATTTTGTAGTTCTTGTCTGTAGTGTTTCTTGTGTTATTTTGTAGTTCTTGTCTGTAGTGTTTCTTGTGTTATTTTGTAGTTCTTGTCTGTAGTGTTTCTTGTGTTATTTTGTAGTTCTTGTCTGTAGTGTTTCCTGTCTTATTTTGTGGTTTTTGTCTGTAGTGTTTCCTGTCTTATTTTGTGGTTTTTGTCTGTAGTGTTTCTTGTGTTATTTTGTAGTTCTTGTCTGTAGTGTTTCCTGTCTTATTTTGTAGTTCTTGTCTGTAGTGTTTCTTGTGTTATTTTGTAGTTCTTGTCTGTAGTGTTATTTTGTAGTTCTTGTCTGTAGTGTTTCCTGTGTTATTTTGTAGTTCTTGTCTGTAGTGTTTCCTGTCTTATTTTGTAGTTCTTCTCTGTAGTGTTTCCTATTATTTTGTAGTTCTTGTCTGTAGTGTTATTTTGTAGTTCTTGTCTGTAGTGTTTCCTGTTATTTTGTAGTTCTTGCTATTCTCTGGTTTAAATCTAAACCGTGGTAACTCTTAAATGAAATACTCAAACCAGACTCACCACACAGCCCTGGCGTCGGGCCAGTCCCGGGCCACGCCAGTCCGGAGCTGGGAGGTAGACGGGGGGTTCAAGTTCAGCTCCCTCTGCTGCTCCTGGTTCAGGTCCTCCAGAGAGAGGAGGCAACCCGGGAGCTGGTCCTGCAGCTGCTGCAGAGCTGAAAGGATCCCTTACTGTTATCAGACTCACTGCATACACCAAACTGCAATAAATCACAGGCCTGCAGTACCTCTGCTGGCCAGTGAGAGGAGCTGTCTGCGCTCTCCTCGACTGCAGTGTGTTGGAAAGCTGAAGTCTTCAACGCCTCGAATGACGCTCACCTCACAGCTGACCACGTACAACCTGTCCAAGTCATCGCCCCCCTCAAACACAAACAGACACAAAGGGGTTCTTCAAGTCATCGAGCACCAGCAGCTTTAAGGCTCTTCTTAAATTTATAAAGACATTTATTTTAATGAGGATCGTGAAGGGCGCTGACATCGTGAACTGGGGATGTCATTTGGAGACATGCGCTGCCCTCCAACCCAAATGCACATTATGTCCAATTGTATTTTTACATCCAAATGTTTAAATGAATTTAAAATGTTAGATTTCGTTCATTATCTCAAATAGAAATTCTTCATTTTACAGTTCAGACGGGATGTGGTCGTGACGGACTGTCCCATCTGGTAACATGGAGGAGGAAGGGTTAATGACCTGTACTGCAGCCAGCCAGCAGGGGGAGCTCTAAATGTTTTGGCTTCACCCTCAGGCAGCACATTCTTTCAGATGTGTGAACAGGATGCATCACTAGCTGTCTGACTACCTTCAAGTTGTCGTAGTTGAAGTCGTTCTCCGGCGTCTGGCTGGTGACCTTGTGTCCGTGAAACGCCTCGATCACTCGGTCAAAGAAGTCACAGAACAGGACGTAGGACTGAGCGTCTCCAGCGACACAACCAACAGAAACAGGACCCGACCAATCACCTTCCAGATCCAAAACAAGATAAATGGACACATCAGACACAAACTGAGTATAAGAGATGGACGTCTGCAACAGGAAAATGATCCCATACAGAAGGGCCTTAAATATGTATTCTCTCTAATGTCCAGCAGGGGGCAGACAGCAGTCTGTTTAAAAGTCTATGATGTTCCTCTCAGCTGATTAATTCCCTCAGTAAACTTTTCCATAACCTGTTCAGGGTCTCAATCTCTAGTTTCAAGTCTTCTTCATCAAAGCATGATGTCTATTTAGTAAATCATGGTCGACTTAGAGTCAAGAGGGGGAGGGGTTAGGGGCGAGGCTACCTTTGATGGACAAGTGGCTACAACGTTGGCCCTTCAATTAGGATAAAGGCGTTATTTAAGTCTTTATATGTGATTTCTATTACTTTAATGTAAGTCTATCCTCTGAAAATCTCTGACAATACTCTGACATCACTCTGACATCACCATGACATCACTCTGAAATCACTCTGACATCACTCTTACATCATCCTGACATCACCCTGACATCACCCTGACATCACCCTGACATCACCCTGACATCACTCTGAAATCACCCTGACATCACTCTGACATCACCCTGACATCACCCTGACATCACCCTGACATCACTCTGAAATCACCCTGACATCACTCTGACATCACCCTGACATCACTCTGAAATCACCCTGACATCACTCTGACATCACTCTGACATCACCCTGACATCACTCTGACATCACTCTGAAATCACCCTGACATCACCCTGACATCACCCTGAAATCAGCCTGACATCACCCTGACATCACCCTGACATCACCCTGACATCACTCTGACATCACCCTGACATCACCCTGACATCACTCTGACATCACCCTGACATCACTCTGACATCACTCTGACATCACTCTGACATCACCCTGACATCACCCCGGCCATACCCCTGACATCACCCTGACATCTCCCTGACATCACCCTGACATCACTCTGACATCACCCTGACATCACCCTGACATCACTCTGACATCACTCTGACATCACTCTGACATCACCCTGACATCACCCCGGCCATACCCCTGACATCACCCTGACATCACTCTGACATCACCCTGACATCACTCTGACATCACCCTGACATCACTCTGACATCACTCTGACATCACCCTGACATCACTCTGACATCACTCTGACATCACCCTGACATCACCCCGGCCATACCCCTGACATCACCCTGACATCACCCTGACATCACCCTGACATCACTCTGAAATCACTCTGACATCACCCTGACATCACTCTGACATCACTCTGACATCACTCTGACATCACCCTGACATCACCCTGACATCACTCTGACATCACTCTGAAATCACTCTGACATCACCTGGTTCCTCGAGTCCGGGGCGGATGACATCATCAAAGATGACTCCACTGCGGGTACAGCGGTCAAACTGTCTGCGGTACATGGCGGGCGTGAGGATCCGTCCCATCCAGGTGGAGTTCCTGCACAGGTCGGGGAACTCGTCGTCAGGTGAGCCTCTCCTCAGGTGGAACTGAGACATGGGGTCGGGGGGTACCAAACTCTGGGCATACAGGAAGTGGTCACAGAGGGGGGAGGAAGAGTTTGTAGTCGGACTGATGGATACTTTTTAATGATGGTCATCTTTATAATGCTTAGCTTAGCTTCAGTGTTAGCTCCAGTGTTAGCTTCAGTGTTAGCTGTAGAGTTAGCTTCAGTGTTAGTTTCAGTGTTAGCTTCAGTATTAGCTGTAGAGTTAGCTCCAGCGTTAGCTTTAGTAGCTTTAATCTGTGATGTCGAGCAGGATCTCAAGGTTTACCTCCAGAATGGGCCGGTACCTCGTCTCTTTAGGAAAAACAACCGGAGCTGCAACAAAAGTTCATATCTGAAAATCTGTTTTCTAACACAGCTCCTTTAAAAACGACGGACACACGTTTTATGTATTTAAAGAAAATATTCTGCAGATTAAAAAAGATCTGTAGACCCATTTGAATCCCAGGCGTGTTGTCGTTCACCGGCTGCTACTGTACACTACTATAATATAGAATAGAGGATTATTACAGGAACATCAGTGTTTCTATGAGTTAGTGTTCTATAAAGATTAAAGAGCAGAAAAGATAAAGATTGTGATCACAAAAATAACAGAAGATAGAAACACTCCTCAGAGTTCTGTATCTGAGTCCTGATGGATTATCTACGTTTAGACCTTAAAGGCTGCCAGACGCAACGTGTTGATGTTAAAACGCAGCTCGTTCAGTCGATTCTGTTAAAAGACAAACGTTGGCATGTGACAGTTGGCGAGTAAAAAATGGAGGCATGCAGAGAAAAGACTCACGTTTGACCTTCCACATGTCAGCAGAACAAAGACTCTAAGAATAAATGTTCAGGGGTGAGCGGATCATCGTCCTGCAGCCTGCAGGGGTCAGATTACTGTCCAAACAATGTCAGCTGTTTATAACCACACACACACACACACACACACACACACACACTCGGGGGCGGTGTGTTCAGACCTGCTGGGATTTAACGTGATTCATGAATCGTGTTTTTGAAGCCTGTTGTTTGTCACGTTTATCATCTTCATCTTGTTTCTGGAGCCAGAAGAAGCTCCGCCCCTCCTCTTTAGAAATCCCTGGAGATGTTATTGATCTTGATGGTAAATATTGGAGATGCTTTTGAAAAATGGAGAGAGGTTAGAACACAGAAAGGTTTACAGACCCATGCAGAGCTGGATAAACACTGAAGCTTCAGAGTCCACCACATGGTGACCTGAGTGAGGGGGGGGGAGACAGCTCTCTATGATGTTTAGAATTTAGACTGCAGTACCCATTTTAAACACTAGGGGGCAGAGGTACATACTGCTCCTTTAAGCATATCATTTCAGGGGGCGCTGGTGGCGTAGCAGTTAGTGTGTACAGAGGCTGTTGTTCTCAAAGTGGACAGCAGGGTTCAAATCCGACCTGTAGCTCCTTGTGGCTCTCCCTGATTTTCAACCCTAACCGTCGTCCTATCGCCACAATTAAAGAGACAGTATGTAGATTCCACCACCAGGGGGCTCTCAATCAATACTCAATACTACAAAAGATGAAGGCGAGCGGGAGTTCTCTCCGCTACTCCCCCCCCTCCAACCAATGAAAAACGACCTCCATGTTGACTGTTGCAAAGACAACCAGGTGAAAGTGACCTGAGGAAGAGAATATGTTTACAGACGAGTTAGTGTATCAGAGTTTAATCTGCATGATGTTTTTATCACAGCAGCGGCTCAGGTGTTCTGGGTCTACCTGTATCAGCTCAGGTGTTCTGGTTCTACCTGTATCAGCAGCTCAGGTGTTCTGGTTCTACCTGTAACAGCTCAGGTGTTCTGGTTCTACCTGTATCAGCGGCTCAGGTGTTCTGGTTCTACCTGTAGCAGCTCAGGTGTTCTGGTTCTACCTGTAGCAGCTCAGGAGTTCTGGTTCTACCTGTATCAGCGGCTCAGGTGTTCTGGTTCTACCTGTAGCAGCAGCTCAGGTGTTCTGGTTCTACCTGTAGCAGCTCAGGTGTTCTGGTTCTACCTGTATCAGCGGGTCAGGTGTTCTGGTTCTACCTGTAGCAGCTCAGGAGTTCTGGTTCTACCTGTAGCAGCGGGTCAGGTGTTCTGGTTCTACCTGTATCAGCGGGTCAGGTGTTCTGGTTCTACCTGTAGCAGCTCAGGTGTTCTGGTTCTACCTGTATCAGCGGCTCAGGTGTTCTGGTTCTACCTGTAACAGCTCAGGTGTTCTGGTTCTACCTGTATCAGCGGCTCAGGTGTTCTGGTTCTACCTGTATCAGCTCAGGAGTTCTGGTTCTACCTGTATCAGCGGGTCAGGTGTTCTGGTTCTGTGTTGTTTTAGCCTCATGCTAACCTCTGTGTTTTAGCCTCATGCTAACCTCTGTGTTTGAGCCTCATGCTAACCTCTGTGTTGTTTTAGCCTCATGCTAACCTCTGTGTTTTAGCCTCATGCTAACCTCTGTGTTTTAGCCTCATGCTAACCTCTGTGTTTGAGCCTCATGCTAACCTCTGTGTTGTTTTAGCCTCATACTAACCTCTGTGTTTTAGCCTCATGCTAACCTCTGTGTTTTAGCCTCATGCTAACCTCTGTGTTTGAGCCTCATGCTAACCTCTGTGTTGTTTTAGCCTCATGCTAACCTCTGTGTTGTTTTAGCCTCATGCTAACCTTTGTGTTTGAGCCTCATGCTAACCTCTGTGTTTTAGCCTCATGCTAACCTCTGTGTTGTTTTAGCCTCATGCTAACCTCTGTGTTGTTTTAGCCTCATGCTAACCTCTGTGTTTTAGCCTCATGCTAACCTCTGTGTTTTAGCCTCATGCTAACCTCTGTGTTGTTTTAGCCTCATGCTAACCTCTGTGTTGTTTTAGCCTCATACTAACCTCTGTGTTTTAGCCTCATACTAACCTCTGTGTTTTAGCCTCATGCTAACCTCTGTGTTTTAGCCTCATGCTAACCTCTGTGTTTTAGCCTCATGCTAACCTCTGTGTTTTAGCCTCATGCTAACCTCTGTGTTTTAGCCTCATACTAACCTCTGTGTTTTAGCCTCATGCTAACCTCTGTGTTTTAGCCTCATGCTAACCTCTGTGTTTTAGCCTCATGCTAACCTCTGTGTTTTAGCCTCATGCTAACCTCTGTGTTTTAGCCTCATACTAACCTCTGTGTTTTAGCCTCATGCTAACCTCTGTGTTTTAGCCTCATACTAACCTCTGTGTTTTAGCCTCATACTAACCTCTGTGTTTTAGCCTCATACTAACCTCTGTGTTTTAGCCTCATACTAACCTCTGTGTTTTAGCCTCATGCTAACCTCTGTGTTTTAGCCTCATACTAACCTCTGTGTTTTAGCCTCATACTAACCTCTGTGTTTTAGCCTCATACTAACCTCTGTGTTTTAGCCTCATGCTAACCTCTGTGTTTTAGCCTCATACTAACCTCTGTGTTTTAGCCTCATGCTAACCTCTGTGTTTTAGCCTCATACTAACCTCTGTGTTTTAGCCTCATGCTAACCTCTGTGTTTTAGCCTCATACTAACCTCTGTGTTTTAGCCTCATGCTAACCTCTGTGTTTTAGCCTCATGCTAACCTCTGTGTTTTAGCCTCATACTAACCTCTGTGTTTTAGCCTCATACTAACCTCTGTGTTTTAGCCTCATACTAACCTCTGTGTTTTAGCCTCATGCTAACCTCTGTGTTTTAGCCTCATACTAACCTCTGTGTTTTAGCCTCATACTAACCTCTGTGTTTTAGCCTCATACTAACCTCTGTGTTTTAGCCTCATGCTAACCTCTGTGTTTTAGCCTCATGCTAACCTCTGTGTTTGAGCCTCATGCTAACCTCTGTGTTTTAGCCTCATGCTAACCTCTGTGTTTTAGCCTCATGCTAACCTCTGTGTTTGAGCCTCATGCTAACCTCTGTGTTTGAGCCTCATGCTAACCTCTGTGTTTTAGCCTCATGCTAACCTCTGTGTTTTAGCCTCATGCTAACCTCTGTGTTTTAGCCTCATGCTAACCTCTGTGTTTAGCCTCATGCTAACCTCTGTGTTTGAGCCTCATGCTAACCTCTGTGTTTGAGCCTCATGCTAACCTCTGTGTTTTAGCCTCATGCTAACCTCTGTGTTTTAGCCTCATGCTAACCTCTGTGTTTGAGCCTCATGCTAACCTCTGTGTTTGAGCCTCATGCTAACCTCTGTGTTTGAGCCTCATGCTAACCTCTGTGTTTTAGCCTCATGCTAACCTCTGTGTTTGAGCCTCATGCTAACCTCTGTGTTTTAGCCTCATGCTAACCTCTGTGTTTTAGCCTCATGCTAACCTCTGTGTTTGAGCCTCATGCTAACCTCTGTGTTTGAGCCTCATGCTAACCTCTGTGTTTTAGCCTCATGCTAACCTCTGTGTTTTAGCCTCATGCTAACCTCTGTGTTTTAGCCTCATGCTAACCTCTGTGTTTGAGCCTCATGCTAACCTCTGTGTTGTTTTAGCCTCATGCTAACCTCTGTAGCCTCATGCTAACCTTTGTGTTTGACATAGCCTCATGCTAACCTCTGTGTTTTAGCCGCTGCACGTAACATCTGGTGTTGCCATGGCAACTATAAACATGTCATGGAGGCTGTTAGTCCAATATATATTTGTTTAGATTTTTTAATGTAAACTTTGTCATAAACTCCACATATTAAAAACAATCTTGAACAAATCTAATGTCCCACATTTATCATAAAGTTTGTGATGGTAATAAAAGGTGAAAATATCCATCTTTAAATAAACATAGTAGTAATGTGGTCGTAAAGCCAAAAGATCTGATCACTGAATAATAGTGGTCATCGCTATGACATAATGATTTTCCTAGCCAATCAGGGCACAGGAGGGTGGGATTAAGCAGAGTTCTGATCTGAACAAAAAGTTCACTTCCTGTTTTGTGTGCCATCAAACTGCCGGAGAATAAAGACCTATGAGGGGGAAGTGTTATTAAAATTATCTCTGATTCTTTGTTCTTAAAGTCAGAGAAGCCGGATGAAGAGGAGCAGGATGTGGAACCGCATTTCTCAATATCTGTTTCCATCACAGAGCGGTAAGATTACACACAACTACTTCAAATCAAACGTTCACAACATTCACTGAGAGGCTTTGTGTAAATTACACCTGACGTGTACAAACTTGTTTGTTTTCTGTCTTACCAGCATGAACCAGTCTGTCAGACCAGTTTTAGATTTGAACTCTGTGGCGTCTCAACTTGAAGTCTTATCGCTCCTGTTGTTTGAGCTTTTCTCTTTATTATTGAGCACTGCTGTCACTTCATCATGTTTGTCCTGTGCTGTTGTTTGTGTGTTAAAGGAAGCTGACTCACTCACTGCAAACTAAATCTACCTACGGGTACAAATAAAGTTACCTTACCTTAAAGGGATACTTCACCCATTTGCATGAAGCTTTCTCAAAGGATTTTCTGATAAGAAAAATGAACGGCTTCCATTGTTGACATGAAGTGAAACCAGTTACCTGCAGGTTAAAAGTCAGACTTTAATCTCGCTCTGCTTGTTGATCTAAATGGTAACCTTAAGTCCAAACAAGTCTGTTTGAAATGCAGGTTGTAACCAAGCAGCAACCTCCACTGTTGAAACATGAAGCCGATGCTGAAGTGTAAAATCCTGCAGTTCCTGGAGTGTCCACTAGAGGCTGGCTGCAGAAGCACAGGAAGTCACATACACACCCATTCTAAAAAGCCTGTTTTTACAGCAGAGATTAAAGAGTAACTAAACCCTAAAACCACTTTTTTCAACTATAAACCTCTGTATTTGAGTATTAAGTAGTGTTATGGATCAATTCAAGTTCCAGTCTCGACATTTGAGTACAAAGTATTGAAATTTTAAATATTGTGTTAGAAATGTGTCAGTCTCCCTCTCGAAGTTGATACATTCTAAATGCATTTTTTGAAATTCCAGGGTCGAGCACTACAGCTGAAAATATGGGGTTTAGTTGCCCTTTAACATGTTTACAGCCTGGTTCAAAAAACCAAATAGGTGTGATTAGCTCATGTCTGGATGGACACACACTGTACGGGGGGTGAACGTTTTGATGACTCATCAGTTTTGATTTGATGAAGGATAAGAGTTATTCACAATAAGGCGTGTAGCTGACCTGATTGACAGGTGGGCGCGGTGTAACGGTTTGTCAGGAGGTTTAAAACCCGCCTCAGCTCCAGCTCTCAGCCTGTCGTTAGGTTGACTGAAAGTTAGACTGAGACAGCATGGAGACCGCCATCGATGGGACTTCAGCGCCCCCTGCAGGAACAGACGGGGGACGTCACACAGGCTTCAAACTTGAATATTTACAGTCTGTGGTTGTAACACTGTTAATGTGGGAAAGTAGAGGGGTGGATCATTATGAAACATTGTTAACTTCTTCATTCTTATTGAGTCGTACCCTCTCTCAGAGTTCAGGTTATTAATTCATTGGTCATAATTTCTAAATACTTTATGTCTCAATCAGCCGAAACTCGGAGGGAAGCCGGAGGTAGTACATGCACCGCCCAGACTGGAAGCGCCATCCTCACGCCTCAGTTCAGCGGTGCTCAACGAGATGTTCAAATTACCTCTAATGTATACTATCAACACGGTAGATGTTTCCTCTAACTTAATACATCTAATAAATACCTTCTTCATGTTTGTCTTCTTGATTTCAACATATCCACTGAAATGATGGTAAATGTTTTGTATAATTTAAAAAATGTTTCTGTTTCAGTCCCGTCTCCTGCTGAGCCAAAAGACACTACAGCTGATCCTCCAGACAATAAAGGTACTGTTAAACGGATTCTACCATCATTTGATCGACGATTGATACATGAACTTATCAAAGGAAATCTTCCCAATACCAAGGCAGGATCAAGTCTAGATTTGTCATGATTTTGGTCTAGGTTTTTGGAAGGGATGTACTTAAGCCGATAACTGATAATGACCTGCTCCTAATGACCGATAAGATCATTGATCTAGGACCATCCAGGTCCTAACGTCCTTAAGGCACGTTTCTAGCTGACATAACTGACTGGTGCCATCGGGCTTCATTGATACATAAAGCTGAGTATCATCTGCATAACAATGAAACTGTATGGAGTGTTTCCTCATAATATTTCCCAGAGGAAGCATATATAATGTAAAGAGAATTGGTCCAAGCACTGATCCTTGTGGCACTCCATGGCTAACTTTGGTGTGCACAGAGGACTTATCATTAACATGGACAAACTGAGATCGGTCTGATAAGTAGGATTCAAACCAACTTAAAGCAGTCCCTGTAATTCCAAGTAAATGTTCTAGTCTGTATATTAGGATCCGATGGTCAATGGTGTCAAAAGCAGCACTAAGATCTAACAGGACGAGCACAGACAGAAGTCCCCTGTTTGAAGCTAGAAGTAGTTCAGTCTGGGGCGCGCTGGTGGCGCAATGGTTAGGGCACGCGTCCCATGTGTTGAGACTCTCATCTCGAGTGGTAGGCCCGGGTTCGCTTCCACCCGTGGCCCCTTTCCGCATGTCATTCCCCGCTCTCTCTCCCTGGTTTCCGACTCTATCCACTGTCCTATCTCTGCATTAAAGGCATGAAAAGCCCAAAAATAAATCTTAAAAAAGAAGTAGTTCAGTCAGGTACACTTTGTCAAGAAGGATACTTTGACGCAGTTATCTATATTTGGCGGTAGGGCTCTGTCTGGGATCTCCCTGCCTACAATGTTTAGAATTTGGACTGCAGTACCTATTTTAAACACTAGGTGCTCAAAGCTGTATTTGATAACTAACCATGTTTTCATTCCTTTTTCAGAATATATCCAAAAGTGCCAAGCTGAACTTAAATCTTTCCTTGAAAAAGAAACAATGAATTTGTTTCAAGGCACAGAGGAAGATGAACCGACTCCTTTAGACAAAATCTATACTGAGCTTTTCATCACCAAAGGAGGCGGTGGGGAAGTTAATACTGAACATGAAGTGATTGAATTAGGACGTAAAAGATGTAAGGAGACCAAAATCAACCTCAATGACATTTTTCAACCTTTACCAAACGAACACTACCCACCTCAGAGAGTTCTGACAGTAGGAATCGCTGGTATGGGAAAAACTGTCTCTGTGCTCAAGTTCACTCAGGACTGGGCGAGAAAGGAAGCCAACAACACTATTGAGTTTCTATTTCTATTTACGTTCAGGGAGTTGAATTTAATCAAAGATGAGAAATGGAGTGTCATGACGTTAATTGCCCACTATTTTGTAGAAGTGAAGGATTTGAAAGCCTCGGACTACGATGGTTTAAAGGTTTTGTTCATCTTTGACGGCCTGGATGAAAGCAAACTCCCTCTGGACTTCAAGAATAACAAGGTGTGCCGCCGTGTTACAGAACTCACGACAGTGGACGTCCTGCTAACTAACTTAATCACAGGGAAACTAATGCACAAAGCCTCGGTCTGGATCACCAGCCGACCAGCAGCATCTGCAAGGATTCCCTTTAATTCCTTTGACAGGGTGACGGAGGTACGAGGCTTTAATGACAAGCAAAAAGAGGAGTACTTTCAGAAGAAGGTAAGTGACAAAGATATGGCTCAGAAGATCTTCGACCATCTTCAGTCAAAGCCCTTGAGAAGTCTCTACATCATGTGCCACATCCCCGTCTTCAGCTGGATTTCAGCCACGGTTCTCCAGAGTCTCCTGACAGAAACTCACACAGGTGAGCTACCCAAGTCTGTGACTGAAATGTACACACACTTCCTGATCGTCCAGGCAAAGATGACTCGCAAGAAGAATTATGAGGACAGAGAGGCAGACAAAGTGTTGATCATGAAGTTGGGAAAGCTGGCTTTTGAACAGCTGCAGGAGGGAAACGTGATCTTTGATGAAAACCACTTGAAAAGCTGTCAAATTGAGCTGACACACGCTGCAGTTTATTCCGGAGTTTGTACCCAGATCATCAAAAAAGAATGTGGTCTTCACAAAAAAGAAATGTACTGTTTTATTCATTTAAGTGTTCAGGAATTTCTTGCCGCTCTGTATGTCTTAGAGACCTTTATCGATAGTGGAGAAAATCTACTTCCCAGCCAGACAGACATGAAAAGGAAAAGAAAACTCCCAATCACCTTCCTTCACAAGAAGGCAGTGGATATGGCTTTAGCCAACAACAAAGGACAGTGGGACTTGTTCCTGCGCTTCCTGCTTGGTCTGTCTCAGAATGAAAATCAGAAGCTGATACAGAAAGTATTTGGATTTAAAGAAGGACGTCCATGGAACAACGAGGAGACAATCAACCACATCCATGAGAAGATCAAGAAACTGTCTTATGCTGACCAGAGTATCAATCTGTTCCACTGTTTGAATGAGCTGGGGGATCAGTCTCTGGTCCAGCAAGTCCAGAACTACCAGAGCTCAGGAGATGTTAGTAAAATGTTACCTGCTCATTGGTCAGCTCTGGCCTATCAGCTGCTGGTGTCCAATGAAGACTTGGATCTCTTTGACCTGAAGAAGTACTGTAAATCAGATGACGTTCTGCAGAGGCTCCTGCCTGTGCTCAAAGTCTCAAAGATAGCTTCGTAAGTATTGAGCCTCACCAAACCAAACTGCTGTAAAACTCTGGTTGTGTTAACTGAACATTGTTTTTTTCCGTTTTAGGTTGAGTGACTGTAAGCTGGCTGGTAGATGTTGTCGGTTAATTTCATCAGTTCTCAGCCTTAAATCCTGTTGCCTGGAGGAGCTAGACCTGAGCAGAAATAATCTTCAAGACTCTGGAATGAGGCTGCTCGCTGTCGGTCTGAGAAGTCCAAACTGCAAACTCCAGAAGCTCAGGTAAGAACATCCAGGAACACCATGACTCGTGTACTTTTACAGGTCTATTGGACAAAGGTCCCCAGAACCAAAAGGAACAGGGACTTCTCTTCAAGGAAATAAATTACCCTGAAGGCCCTGATACACCAAGCAGACGGAAAGAACTAGTGGCGACGAAGGCCATCTGTGGTGTTGGAGCACAAAGCCTTTTGTCTCGGCCAAAAAGTTTCACTTGAACACACTGCAAAGACTACAGCCGACAGCCAACCACCACGTACGTTCTGCATATGCGTGAGAGTCAATACCTCTCCATGCCAGCAGGGGGCAGTAGTCTGTAATCATCATTCCAAAAGGTGAAACCTGAAGAGGACAAGGAAGAACGCAGATAAATAAACCGTTGTTATGATACGAGGAGAGAATTTTCTCACGGCTGTCGCTCAACACTCGTAATAAACTTCTAATGGAGAATAATGTCTGATAAAAAGGTGAAAATTGTCAGCCCTTAATCTTTTATTAGTAGAACAAGAAGAGAAGAGATGCTTCCGTATTTCTTCTCGTGCACTGGCTCTCCTGTTTCGCTTATCTGAACAGCCAATCAGAGAGATTCCTACCCCCAACCACGGCGACGACGGCTCACAGAGATTCAACATGTGGAATCATGTGGACCGACGGCAGACGGTCTCCTTGGTGTGTCAGCGCCTTAAGGCCTGTAGTTGTCAGCCTTTCCACCGCTGCCTGAACTCCTGGGAAGATTTTGCAAATCAGGCTGTTTTGCTTTGCAAAATGGATTCATTGGTTAACACTGGAAAGGAGATGCTGTGTTTAGTGTGTCATTAGAAAGGAAAGCGGAATCCAATTAAAACGTTAGAAGAATTAAACTGCTTACCTCACATCCCTTCATTTCACCAAACACCTAGGAAACACCTTTTAGGAAGATTCATTTCAGTTAATTTCTTAAAGTTAATATTGGGGGAAAGTATTTTTATTGATTTTGACATATTTTTGACATATATTTAAGAACATCTGATTTTTGATCCCTTAAAAGATCTTTTAAGGAATCATTTTGAAATTGGATTTCTGAAAAAGATCACCAAAGTTAGAATATACATACATATTTTATTACATTTTTTGAACAAACAGGACATAGAAACATACACATGACAGCAGGGACTTAAATGAGCAGATTACAGATCACATGGGATTTAAAGGTAATCGAAACAAGACATCAAAACATTTTGCAAGACAGTATCATACATGGACATATCTATATCACAGATTTCAGACATTAAACATGGAACAGGGAATATACAACATAAGCAGGACTGTAAAATACAATACCCAGAGAGCATTAAGTATTCTCAGAGGTAAAGGAGGGGCGCCAATCTACATTGCAATGTCCCCTGTGTAATAGGTCTGCTGTGCCACGTGGGAGGTGGTTTGGGAATGGTTCCCATAGCTTACTGAAAACCCTTTCATTTCCCTTCAACACTGAACTTAAGCGTTCCATTGGTAAGACTTTAAAAATGTCCCCATACCACTGGTTAATAGATGGAGGTCTGGACTTAATCCACTGAAATAGAAAGGTAGAATATAATATAATCAAAGATGGTATTTTAAGTATTATTCACTTGTTATTTTGGCCAAACAATTCAAACATAAATGTAGCTTATGTCTGTAGAAGTCAAACTAAGTTTGGAATAAGGTTGGTTGATGGCAAACCACATCACTGCCCCTGCATGTACCCATTAATAAGAAAAACTGTCTTCCCTATCAGGTTGGCTGGTTGTCGGTTTTCAGAAGTTGGCTGTGCTGATCTTGCATCCTCTCTGAGGTCAAACCCCGCCCACCTCAGAGTCCTTGATCTGGCCAGGAATGAGCTCCAAGACGCTGGAGTTGATCGCCTTTCTGAGTTCTTGTTACATTGTAAGCTGGAGAAACTGAGGTGAGTCTAACCCTTAGATTCGCCGTGGTTTTGCTCGGTCCAACAGCTCAGGACCATGACCTGCTCAGGACTATGACCTGCTCAGGACTATGACCTACTGAAACTATATATGAAGCAAAGCACATGCTGACTGATGGGTTAACTTTGTTTTCCAGCCTGAAATGCTGCTCGCTAACAGCAGACAGCTGCTCGCATTTGGCCCTCTGCTGCCCCTCCTCTCTCAAAGAGCTGGACCTGAGTTACAACCAGCAGACGGACCGGGGAGTGGAGCTGCTTTGTGATTGGCTGAGGAAACCTCAGTGTTGTCTGGAGATCCTGAGGTGAGTTCTATATCACATTAATGCTGATGATCATATTTACTATCATATGTAGTAAACTCCCAGGGAGCCAAAAGTGAGCCACAACATAATAATCAGGTGGAAGTTTGGAGACGAGGAATTAACACTAAATAGAGATTCTTGTTTTGAATTTCTATTTTTTTTGTCCATAAGGTTGTCAGAGATGACGGACAGCGGCTGTACGTCTCTGGCCTCGGCTCTGACCCTGAACCCTTCACACCTGATAGAGCTGGACCTGAGTAAGACCGATCAACTAGGGTCCGGTGCACTGCATCTTTCTCAAATACAGAGGGACGATAGCTACAGACTGCAGACTCTGACGGTGACACAGTGATCAAAGGAGCTACAACAGAGACTAAATGATTCATATTACACACACAGTCTGAAACGAAAGAGGTTATCAATCAGGTCTCGATGATCGCCAGCAGCAGGGACTACCTGCCGCACAGCTTCAACGATTTCCACCTGGAGACAGGCTGTTTTAGGGATTGACAGATTTGATTCTTCAAGTCTTTTGTACGTGGGTTTCATGACTTCAAATCATAATAAAAAAATAAGAAAGTAGAAGCTGTACATGATGGAGAGACTGTGGGAGTGATGGGGCAGATCACCACCACATTTTTTGGTCTTGTCCAAAGATATGACTGTTTTGTGAAAATATCTGGACAATCATGGAACAGATTCTTGGACAACTGTTTCCATTAACTTTCATCTCACTTTATTTGGGTGATCTGCCCGACGAAATAAAAGGAGGTGATAGATACCTTCTGAAAATATTTTCAGTAGCAGCAAAAAAAGCGATCACCCGTAAATGGTTACAGACTGATCCGCCCACAGTAGATAACTGGTTTGAATTTATGAAAGCGATTCACCAGATGGAAAGACTGACTTTCTTATTGAGAGTAAGAAAGGACTTGTAAAATGCAAAATGGTCAAAATGGAGACAATATTTGACAGATCAATAGATAAGGTGGTTTGCCCCACACTCATTCTGACAACTTTATGTTGTTTACCTCCCTTTCACTGATTTTTTATTTTATTTTATTTTATCATGTAAATGATGAGAAGCTATTCAAAGACCCCTGGTGAGCTGCACTACTGAGGTTATGACCTAAAATTGAACATGTCTAAATGTCTGGCAATTATTCTGATGTTATGTTGTTGATGTTTTTTCTGTTTAAAAAAATAATACAAGGGGCGCGCTGGTGGCGCAGTGGCAGGGCGCGCGTCCCATGTGTTGAGACTCTCAACACATGGCGTACTTAAGACGTTGAGCGATAGGCCCGGGTTCGCTTCCACCCGTGGCCCCTTTCCGCATGTCATTCCCCGCTCTCTCTCCCTGGTTTCCGACTCTATCCACTGTCCTCTCTCTGAATTAAAACACGAAAAAAGCCCAAAATAAATCTTTTAAAAAAAAATAATGATAATACAAAATTTTAGTGGCAAAGAAATTAAATAAAGTGAGAGTGTGTTTTTCCTTGTGATGATCCTCAGAACTGTTGTGTTTGTTTATATTCAAGAAGATGAAAGACGGGTTCAGAAATATTTTATTCATCTCCAGGGGACAAAGTTTGATATGTGCATGAATTGATTCATAAATGATCTGCTGTTAATGAAAAGTTAAGCCAGCTTTACTTTCTAAACTCTAAATATCTATTAACGATTGTATCCATGTTAATAATTAAGTAACTGTTATTAAAACTACTTCCTGAATCATTCTGATTCTAGAAGCATCGACAACACACGGCTTCTAGAACTTTTGAGTTGTTAAGATTTAGAGCTGCTCTAAACCGGCCATGTCCACCTTGACTTTGACAAACAGCGTGTCATCATCGACATACGAAGCGTTTTGAGGATTCTCCAGCTGGTCAAGGGGAATGAAACAAGACAATCCACTCGCCACGTTGCTGAAAGAGTCTGCGTCGGGTCGCTGGAAGCTTTTAGACATCAGGTCGGGTCTGAAGCTGAGAGTACGGTGGTTTCCAGCTCCACTTTGATCGAGTATGGACAGAGACACGTTCTGTTTGAACGGCCACGGCAGCAGAGCATCGAAGTCCCCCGGCATCAGGACCACATAAAGAGACAGGTGAGTCCCTCGCCCCTCCCCGTCACCGTTCAGGTAGGCTTTTGCGGCCATTTTGTAGCCGCAGCGTCCAGTGTGGAACGGTGAACTGGTCAGGCAAGGCGGCTGACCTTTGGCCTCGTCTTCACTCCTCTTTCTGAAGCCATCAATCTTCCAGATCAGTTTGCCGTCGTGGGACGTCGCCTCGAGCTCCTGCAGGTGCTGCTTGTTACAACTGAGCTGAGTGGCGTGGAGCTCCAGGACACTCGAGTGAAGCCTCAGATTCTCCTCCAAAGTTTCTGGAAGAAGGAAACACAAAAGTTATTCAACTAGCTACTTCCAGTTTGCTTTGATATGGAGTAGGTGTGTTTTGGGGGAGCTCCACCTGAACTTCACATTACTGTTTTTGATATTTTTACTATATTTTTACGCAGTGTGGTAATTAGTTACACTACGCGAAATGACAAAACCAGGAAAAGGCAAGAAATGTGAAAAGGTCGCTGGAGAGAACGATTCTGGAGAGAGTTTGATCAAGCTAGCGGATGTAGAAGAGGCTAAAGCTAGCGCTAGCACCACCGCTACTATCAATGATGTCCTAGCCGAAATAACTACTCTCAACAGCACCGTCGACAAAAGGTCGAAAGAGCCACGAGAGGCGGATCGAGGAATTGGAACAGTGCCATGACAGCTTAACATCTCAAGTAAGACAACAGTTAGCAAAGCTCGACGACCTGGAGTCCCCCCCCCCTCCACCTGGAGTGGAAGGGGGGGGGGTAGGTTTTTATTTTTGTGTTTGCTGTTTTTTGTTTAGTCTGTATTTTCTGTTTATAAAAGCATTAAATATATTTTCCAAACACAGAGTGCACGTGATCGTAACAAGATGCTTTAATGTTCAGTGTGTTTATGTCTGAACTTTGAGATTCTTTTTTCTGATGGAGCTCGGGTCAACAGTTTCTGAGATGCATCTGGAGAATCTTTGTGCTGGTAGACGAATCTCTCACTCTTGATGGGGTTCGGCTCTAGTAAACACTCCTGAACACATTCACAGTCATAGAGGAAGTGTGATTAGCTCCTCTTACCCAGATGTTCTTTGAGTGCCTCCGTGGCTGAAATTTTCTGGATTACAGCATCCACAGACTTCTTGAGCTGCTCCAGATCCTCTAGACCAGAACCGAGTCCTCGAGACACCTGCTGGATGTCGAGCTGTACGGTAGACAGGACGTCCTCCTGCCGGCTCAGAGTCCTCTGAACACAGACAGAAGAAACCAGAACGTGGAGTCAAGACTCAGATCAGCATGTGCAACAATTCTTTTATTAGCAGGGGCGTGTCCAGAGGGGTCGCATGGGCCCCCCTTGAAATCTGATTGGCCACCCTAAAATCCAAATCTATGATTGGCTATTTGCCTCATTAGAGGCGGGACTAGATTCAAATGAACTATTCTGTTTTTAAGAGTCTGCTGGTCGATCTCTTCACGTGTTGATGTTGTTTTTTTTGTACTTTGACTTTTAAACAAAAACGTTTAAATGTCCTAACATAAACGTGTCGAACTTACCAAAAAATGTTCTTGTAGACTGTGGTAAGTATTTTTCATTGGCTGTTGTTCTTCCTGCCCATCAATTTCCTGCTCCAGCCAATGATATGCTGCAGACAGGAAGATGACGTTGTCGCGGTGCGGGGAGACTCCATCTCCCTCACTCTACACTGGCCATGCCACGTGACCTTTGTTAATCTGTTCTTAGTTTGTTTTGTGCAAGTTAATGTCGGCGTGAATCTTTAATTACTAGAACCTTGTTTTCTCCTGTTTTTAGTTCGTTAAAACCCCTGACCCTAAGAGGGTTGTCTTTTGTTTCCCTTGATTCATCAGCTCCTGTTTGTTTGGTTTGGACTATGAAGTTATTCATATCAGCACATCATATCTCTGAAGTTATTCATGTATCAAAAATAAATAACGTTCTGGTTGAAAGGGTTAAAGTGTTCTCTCTGGAAGTTTGAGAAGTGAGAGATTTGGGTCTTTGTTCATGTTGTGTCTCGGCTTCCTCTAGAAGGGTAATAACATGAGCGAGTGTTTCCATGTGATCTGAAAACTTTGATTTGTGACTTTTTTGTTTTTCATTCCCAAAGAATCAAGAAGATTCACATGTTGCCAAATCGTCTTCAAGTTCATATTGGTGGAACGGGGAAACATTTTATGCGTGTGACCACAAATTTTTATCCTGACGCTCAGCCTCCACCAATCAGACTGTGACGTCAACAACCACCGCCGTCCTCATTCATACACGACCTGCTCCGACCTCCACCTCAGTGGGGAGGAAGTGTGGACAACAGGGACGAGAGGAATACAAAGGAGAAATCCTTCCTGCAGATTATCACATAAGATCTTTAGTAAAGCGTCTCCAGATAACTCTTGTTGTGAATTGGTGCTATACAAATAAAGATTGATTGTCTGATTGATGCCGCCCTCCATAAGCCCGAGCCCCAGGTGCTTGTGTAAAGATTTGTGTTGATGGATGGTTGAAGCGTCGACGTGTTGAACGGTTCTTGAAGTCTGTACTCACCTGAGCTGCTGACACGATGTGTTCATGGCTGCTCGTCTGCTGCTGCAGCGGTCCGATCTTCTTCTGCAGACCAGCGAGATGTAAGCCATCCACCTGGACCTCCTGCTGCCTCAACAGCGCCTCCTCCTGGAGAACCTCCACCTGCCCGAGGAGGCAGAATAACAATCAAACATGGTACACTTCCTGTCCGGAGGTCTTGAGGTGTCGCAGATGACCTTTTGATTGTTGTTCACTCTTTCACACTACACGAGATAAAACGATCGTTTCTCAGAGTCGACGGGTCCCGAAACCCTTCATCTGCTGGATCGGATCATATTCATAACGGCAAGTCTCACCTCGGCGTTTGAAATGTCATAGACTCTCGTCCTCCACATGGTTTTTATCATAAACAGTGAAGTGGAACATTCCGTGAACTGTTCTTAAACTGCAAAAATGTTGCCGCTGCCACCTAGTGGCAACTGTTTGTTACTACAAAATACAGTTTGAGTGAAATCATCACAGTATTGTTGGTTTGTCTTATTTCTCATGGTGCTGAGAAGATATCATAACTTCAGGTAATCTTTGAGGACCAGGTGAGTGTGTGTGTGTGTGTGTGTGTGTGTGTGTGTGTGTGTGTGTGTGTGTGTGTGTGTGTGTGGCGTACCTGTTGCTCCAGGTGTGTGTGTGTGTGTGTGTGTGTGTGTGTGTGGCGTACCTGTTGCTCCAGGTGTGTGTGTGTGTGGCGTACCTGTTGCTCCAGGTGTGTGTTACTCCTCAGGACCAGCAGCATGTGATGATTGACAGCAGCGTCTTCGTGCAGCTTCACTCTCCGTCTCTTATCCTGCAGAAAGAAAGAAAGACTTCAGGTAAAGAAGACAGGAAGTTCAGTCTGATGATTCGTTCTCCAGGTGAACTCACCTGCACCAGGCAGCCAAACCTCCTGTAAGAACAGTCGGCGTGAACCTCTGGACACGCCTCTCGGTGCTCCGCCAGCTGGAAGAGATCACACACACTCTGAGACTCATCATGGATGATTAATCACACTTTGAATCACATGTTTGAAAATCCATTATTCGCATTTAAAAATAAAACTTAGGCTTTTATTCTGAAGGTTTGTCCTGTATCTTAATCTAAGAGTACTTTACTTGCTGTGTGCTTTTATTTTAAAAGAAATTAAGGCCCTTCCTGTTGCTGGAAGTTTAGGACAGGAAGTGGTTAGGGATCCCAAAGTGAGGTCAAACAACTCAAAGGAACGGTAACAAATGTCAATGTGTGATGTCATAAGGTCAATGTGTGATGTCATAAGGTCAGTGTGTGATGTCATGAGGTCAATGTGTGATGACATAAGGTCAGTGTGTGATGTCATAAGGTCAGTGTGTGATGTCATAAGGTCAATGTGTGATGTCATAAGGTCAGTGTGTGATGTCATAAGGTCAATGTGTCCAGATTAACAAATTAATGCTGACAGCTCTGGTTTATATATCTTTCATAAAAACCTAATCTGCTGAACAGTCTGTAGATATTAACACCTGGCGCCCAGTATCCATGACAACATGACCGACAGGAGTAGACTTATGAGGGATGCAGGATCATTAAGTCACAAACATGATCCCGCTTCAATCCAAACAAAAAGAGATGCATTATGCGTTAAACTGAGAGAAGAAGGGGGAGGAGCCATGCACAGTAAAAAAGCTGTTGAACTGATCCACACGGTGGTCATTTACTCCTGGTGTCACTCTCAGGATCTCAGACTCTTCAACCATAATGTGCTGCTGTGTTCCAGGAAAGCTTTGCCATACTGTTTCTTTTAAAGATGACATATTTAAAATCCTCTTCTCCATGTTCCTCTAACTCTAACATGTGTCTCTAGTCCATCTACAAACCCCCCAATGATGAGAAAAGTCCATCCTCTCCGTCTTCTGCCTGCTCCACTTTTTAGAAAATGTGTGCTCAAACAGGCCGTCATGACATCACAAAGGGCAGTAGCCCCTCCCCCAGGTGGGTGTTTGTTCTGCCCTCTGAGTCTGCCTTCTCACCGTAAACAATAGGACATGGTCGAAGTCTCTGATTTTTACTAGATAATAAAGTTTCAAACTCGATTGTTTAGACGTCCCTAACCCTTACCCCCCCTCCCCCCATCCCCCCCTCTGACCAATCAGCAGCTGAGCAGACGATGCACTGTGTGTCTGTAGAATGATGAGCTCACCTGGTGTCTGGGGAGCGTCTGGGAGCAGCTGTTGGGACAGTCTACCTCCACCTGAGGACAGGTACTGTGCAGGTGATCCTGCAGGACACAGAGCAACAAACATTCAGGATGAATCAGAAACGTCCCAGGTGTGCAGCCTCAGTGAGGACTTTACCTGGACCTCAGTGAGGACTTTACCTGGACCTCAGTGAGGACTTCACCTGGACCTCAGTGAGGACTTCACCTGGACCTCAGTGAGGACTTTACCTGGACCTCAGTGAGGACTTTACCTGGACCTCAGTGAGGACTTCACCTGGACCTCAGTGAGGACTTCACCTGGACCTCAGTGAGGACTTTACCTGGACCTCAGTGAGGACTTCACCTGGACCTCAGTGAGGACTTCACCTGGACCTCAGTGAGGACTTTACCTGGACCAGGCTGAGCTGGAGCGGCTGCTGGCAGTGAGGGCAGGGCTCTGTGCGCTGACGACAGGTGTTGGTTACGTGATCCTGCAGGTGTCTCCTCTGTAGCGTCGCCCTGCAGCCTGGATTAGTGCACTGCAGCTGCTCGTATTGACACAAGCTCAGGTGCTCCTGCAGAGAAGGGAACAACCAATCAGAGAGCTCCATGACGAGACTGTCGTTTCAAGCCGTGATATTTACGCCTCTGAGACATTTCTCCGTCAGTCTGAACGTCATGGAGGCGTAATGTGGGGACGCAGTGACCCCCTCCTCTGTCCCGTCTTCAGAGGCGTTACAGAGGGGAGGTGGGATCAGCTGATCCATCGGGGGAGAACAGCACTGTGTGTGTGTATGTGCATGTCTGACTGTGTGTGTATGTGGAGCAGACGTGATGAGGGCGGAGCTTAGCTACGGCACTTTAATGGAAACGCAGTCTGAGGATGACTTTACTTATCTCTTAGGCGAGGCTGTTCACCTGCAGGCGCTGTAATGTGACGACAGAGGTGCATGCTGGGTAGTTGGTGCAGTACACCTCTAAACAGGAGATCTCTCGTTTGCAGCATTTATCTTGAAAAACCTGCAGAAAGAAAACTCTTTTAATTACTCAGGTTAATTACCACAGACTGTATGTAAGAAGTGGGCGTGGCCATGGTGACATCAGGACTTCTGGTATTTTGGTTGTCGCCATCTTGTCAGCACCATGAAGCGGTTTAGAGTTTGTTGTGTGGGTGCCAATCAGCCAGAAGTGACCATATTTGGAGAAGAAGGCGGAGCTTTAAGTGTCAGTGCTAAGTTCCCAGTCCCAGGTAGCCCCTCCCCCTCTTTCAAGGAGACGCTGTGATGAAGAAGACTTCTGATCTACAGACCATAAACTCTTCAGGAAGTAAATCAGCTGACAGGTCGGAACGTTTTATCATAGACTTCAATAGAATGAGACTGCTTTACGCCCCCTGCTGGACATTAGACAGAAGACGTCCACTTCTTATATACATCCTTATTTATGAACAAATACCTTTACATCTAATGACATCAGCACCAGGTGTACTTTTTGTTTACAGCAAACATTAGCATGCTAACATGCTAAACAGAGATAGCGAATGCTTTGACCTCAGCCGGTGTGATCACAGCGCCCTCTACTGGACAAACGGGGCTGGATGGTGATGAAGACTCCCTGGAATAAAAAAGAACAGTTGTTCAGGGGGGATTTAAGGTGGACTGTGTTGATGTGAGTGTGTTTTAAGGTGGACTGTGTAGATGTGAGTGTGTTTTAAGGTGGACTGTCTAAATGTTAGCATGTTTTAAGGTGGACTGTGTTGATGTGAGTGTGTTTTAAGGTGGACTGTGTTGATGTGAGTGTGTTTTAAGGTGGACTGTCTAAATGTTAGCATGTTTTAAGGTGGACTGTGTTGATGTGAGTGTGTTTTAAGGTGGACTGTGTTAATGTGAGTGTGTTTTAAGGTGGACTGTCTAAATGTTAGTACGTTTTAAGGTGGACTGTGTAAATGTGAGTGTGTTTTAAGGTGGACTGTCTAAATGTGAGTGTGTTTTAAGGTGGACTGTGTTGATGTGAGTGTGTTTTAAGGTGGACTGTGTTGATGTGAGTGTGTTTTAAGGTGGACTGTCTAAATGTTAGCATGTTTTAAGGTGGACTGTGTTGATGTGAGTGTGTTTTAAGGTGGACTGTGTAAATGTTGGCACATTTTAAGGTGGACTGTGTTGATGTGAGTGTGTTTTAAGGTGGACTGTCTAAATGTTAGTACGTTTTAAGGTGGACTGTGTAGCTGTGAGTGTGTTTTAAGGTGGACTGTGTTGATGTGAGTGTGTTTTAAGGTGGACTGTCTAAATGTTAGTATGTTTTAAGGTGGACTGTGTAAATGTTAGCATGTTTTAAGGTGGACTGTGTTGATGTGAGTGTGTTTTAAGGTGGACTGTCTAAATGTTAGTATGTTTTAAGGTGGACTGTGTAAATGTTAGCATGTTTTAAGGTGGACTGTGTTGATGTGAGTGTGTTTTAAGGTGGACTGTGTTGATGTGAGTGTGTTTTAAGGTGGACTGTCTAAATGTTAGTATGTTTTAAGGTGGACTGTGTAAATGTTAGCATGTTTTAAGGTGGACTGTGTTGATGTGAGTGTGTTTTAAGGTGGACTGTGTTGATGTGAGTGTGTTTTAAGGTGGACTGGTTCCTACAGTAGTCCCTGCAGACAGTGGTAGCAGTAGATGTGTCCACAGGAGTTCTGCTGAGGGTTGAGAACGACTCCTCTGCAGACGGGACAAACATACTCCTCCTTCAGCATCAACACAAACTTCAAAGAGTTCTGGATGGAGGTCAGCTCAGACTCCCAGGAGTCCACTGGGCCCACAGACCTCCTCATGGCCTCCTCAGACCTTGTCATGGACTCCTCAGACCTCGTCATGGACTCCTCAGACCTCGTCATGGACTCCTCAGATCCTCCCAGCTTTGTGTCAGCCGTTGCCATGAGTCTCCAGGAGGCTGGACAGATCACACAGGTGCCTTTAAAAATCAGATTATAGATTTGTAAACTGTTTCCCTTGCTGGTGATGTTTACCTCTGAGGATTTGAATCAGACTTTAATGAAGCTGAACCTGAGAGGCAGAACTGAGGGCTTAAATCTGACATGTGATGTACGGGCTCTCTGCCCTACATTTAGTCTGTCAGGCTACAGAGAGTCTACAGCGCTCTTCTCAGGTCGTCTTTAATAGCTGCTGAATCTTAAACCTGTGTCAGCCCCCAGTAGCCCCGCCCCTAAGTCCTCTGAAGATCATTAAAACAACGGAGATTGTATCAAAGTAGTTTGACTCTGCACTGAGACTTCCTGCAGTGAAATTACTGA